CTCGAATCCCTGGACTCAGGCAATCCTCTTGCTTCAACCTCCCAAAGTGCTGGGATTACAGGTTTGAGCCACCGCACACCCAGCTTGAGTAGGCTCCCACTCTGTCGCCCAGCCTAGAGCAGTGGCACGATCATGGCTCACCACAGCCTCGACTGATGGGCTCTGGTGATCCGTCCACCTCAGCCTTCCGAGAAGCTGAACTGCAGGCACACACCACCACGCCTGGCTTACTTTTTACTTTTTGTAGAGATGAGGTCTTGCTCTGTTATCCAGGCTGGTCTCAAACTCCAAGGCTAAAGCAGTCCTCCTGATTTGACCTACCAACGTGCAGGGATTACAGGTGTAAACCACCACACCCAAGCATTTTTCTTATTTTTGTAAAATGGGATAACAGCTTTCCTGCAGGCTTGACATATGAACTAGAGATAATATGTGTAGAGCACTTAGCACAGTTCCTATTCCTAGGGTTACAAAGGCATACAATACATGGTCATAATAACATCGTATCATTATAATCTTCAAAAGTGGACTTCTTTAAAAGTCCTGTGAACTTCACTTCTCTACTGATAATCTGCAGAGGTCTAGACAAAAGGACACTGGGCTGACCCTCCAGGATATAGACGGAAGCAATGACACAGCTAGAAGTCTTCAGGCTTGAATTCTATTGCTTAGCCTAGACGGGGTCTTTTTTCCTTATTCCTGTAAATTCTACATGAAACAGCATGCCCTTATATCTTGTGTCTCATCCTGTAAATTTTGTACCAGACAAAATAGAAATGTCACCTTCCATGCACACAAAGTAACCTGAAAATATGATTTTTCAAACACATTGCTGAATTTATGAAAAATAAACAGCTGAGTCGGGTGACCTGGTAACTTCACAGTATATGCTTTTAGTCCAGTTCAAAGGAGAAAAAGAACTCCTGTGTCCAGGATTTTTTAAAACTATATTGATTAACAGTTTTCTCCATGTCGGATGCCAAGAGAGATGTGCGCAAAGAGATTTCTCCAACTTGGCAAAGGTCCTGCACCATATTCAGGCTGACTGAAGATGTCTCCAAGACCATCGTGACAATCACTATTATAAACACAGCCACAGGTCCACAAACTGCGTTACCAAATTATCTCTGTGCAAACCGTAACCCACTTCAGAAGTGCCTGTGCTGCCCGGGACACAGCTGGTCCCACAGCCCTAACTCTCCACAGTCCCAGAATTCAGCTCCAAAGGAAGGCAGCTGCTGCTGCTACTCCCGTTGGCCATCTTGGGAATGGTCAGCCCCACCTTCTGGGTTGACCCTTCCTCCGCGCCCAGCCATCCCTCCTGGACAATGCAAGTCACAATCTGAAGCTGAGGATGTCAATCCAAACTTAAAACCGCAATCAGTTACAAAGGGAGATGGAAATGTACAGGACAACAACTTCCTCCAGACAGAGGCCAAGGCCAGGCCAAATAACCTCTGTATCCATCGGGTTCAAAAATTAAAGAACTGTGGAGAGAGAAGGCAGTAGCCTGACTTTCTTTCTGACATGGCTCAAAACCAGTGTGATGAAAGCTCACTGGAAACTTTTATTGCCTAGTCTAGGTATTTACTTAAACTTCAAACCTAGCAATTTAGACTTAAATGTAACCAAAAGAAAAAAGTATTTGGTTGAGTTGGAGAATGAAAAAAAAAAAGTGGGAGGGGGAGCAGATTCTGCCTGCACAAATCCTCCTAGCAGCCGACATGTTAACCACAATATTTATTTTAGTAAATGTAGAGAAAGTGAAAAACATCACTTTCACCTCTAATATTTCAAAGTCTTGGACTTGCTTTAAAAAAAATTTACACGCGCACGCACACACACGCACGTTACTAATGCTGTATGTGAAAAATCAGATGCATTTGCTGGCATGAGGACCAGAGCTGACAGCCTCATTTACCAACTGAACAACACCCCACAGAAGATTAAACATGGTTCATGTTCTCCCCAGGCAACTACACTGCCAGAGTCAGAACCCTGACCTACAAACCACAGTTAGAAAAAAGTCAGTCCAGGCGCTACATGTGTCAAAATTAGGGCCCCATCAGTTAAGGGCTCTCTTTCCTCCCTAGAGTCAAAATATTTAAAAAATAAACTAAACTCTTGGTCATAAAATTAACCACTACATTTTAGTAGGGTCTACCAAAAATTAAAACTGAACACCCAGCTTCAAAACCCGAGCCGATGCTACTGCCTTTAGTTTCACCAGGGTAGAGGCTTAGATCAAGAAGAAAAAACATTTTCTCCTTTCTCATAGTTTGCAATGATAACTGCCCAAAAGAAGTGACCCAAATTCACAATGGGTAATTCACCCTGCCCAAAGTACTAACCAGAGTGTATGTGGAGAAAACCCTTTTGCACTTAGCACCAGAAACTGCAACTCTGCCTTTCTGGGCAGGCCTGCAGGAGCGACCGAGAGCCTCTCCCTGAAAGCTGGTGGCCTTTGTAAATGGGAGCAGATTCACGCTTGTGAATGCAGCGTGACATAACGGGCTATTCCAGACCCGGTGAGAGGCTCACTGCCCTCCTTAGAACACAACCCATCCTCTATAAGTGAAGGGACTAACACGCAACGCACTTGCCCACCTATTCACTTCCCTCCGGAGAAAGGCAGTTGGCAGAGGCCTCTCCATGTTCCCTCCCTCACAGCTCCTTGGACTTTTCTCTGCCTTTTCCCTCCTTCCTGTATCTCCATCTTCCCTTCTTAGGTGATGCCAACACCTCCTTTTTCTTATACTCCTTTCCTTCTCCTTTACTAAGAATTGAATAAACAAAATTTAAACATCCAGAAAACTGGCCATATTATAGTGTTAAGGGAAAAAAATACTAGCTAGTTAATTTTTTAAAAAAACAAATATGTTCTGGGTCATAATATAGGATTTTCATTTAAAATAGCGATTTTATTTAATCAAACTGTGGCTCCCTAAATCTAAAAGGAAAGGAACAAAAATTCCAGGAAGGAAAATGTTTAAATGTCTCAGGAGAAACAAAAGATTTTTCTTGAGGAAATTCTAATTGGCCTAACAGAGCAGGGCCGTGGTCTTCTTCCAGCCTAGACGGCAGATCTACCACTAGTAGTCTCCAGGGTTGGCTATCCAACTTCAGTATAACCAATTAAAAGGGACCAGCCATAAAAAGTGCAGCTACTACTGCCAGGCCATAAACTAGACCTTATCGGTGACAGAGGTGCACATTACAAACTTCAAACTCATTCCTCGCTCTAATCCATCAGAAACTCCCTGGCTTTAATAGGCTATAAATGGCAGAGGCTTTGAAGTCCCTGGGATTAGGATCAGTAACAGACAGAGTGAATGAGAAACTAAATGCAGGCGGAACACACTCTATGGGTCCCGAATTAAAAACAAATCCAATTAATCAAACAGTCCTCAACCCTAGCTGCCAGCCAGCGGATTACAGGGGTGGCCAAGGCCAGGAACAAAGTGATTAAGGATGAACTAATGGGAGCTTCCAATGCTTGCTCCCTGTAAGGACTGACGTGAAGTCTGGACAGGGTATGCTTTGCTACTGACTTTCCCAATCAGAGGTGAGGCCATACTTTTTCTGTGAAGGAAAGCACAGTATTAGAGCAGAGATAAGAAAGGAGAAAACGAACGCCTTTTAAACTGAGTCTTCATGCAGACACACCAGCCGGGATGGCTGAGGGAAGCTGAGATCTGTTTTCCCTAGGCTGATGGCCTTTGATGCTACTGATTCCTAAGCCCTCAAACTCGTGTGGCTACAGAGTATGCTGGGGCTCAGAGTTAGACAGGCCACCCTACCTGAATGAGAAGACTAAGAACACTGGGGTCATGCTGCTGCAGAAATGGCACTGTTGTTGAGAAAGCAGGAAAATTCATTTAAAACAAAGGATGCGAATCAGTTGGCCATCCAAAAATCAACCCAGCTGAGAGGGACGCTGAAGTCCAAACCAGGCCCTCTCCCAAGCACACAACTTCCTCAGTCATCTTACCTTCTGGAGGGCTCTTATGCTGATTATTCCAGACGACTGGCAGCTTGGATAGGCTGGGCACCTTGGACACCTCAGTGACAACCCGGAAGAGACTCTCCACGCGGTCACAGGTGAGGACGATGGCGGTGAACCCCTGAGACTGCGGTGGGATCAGCAGGAGGAAGAGTGGGCTGCTCACGCTGCCCCACTTCTGCGAGAGAACAGATTCACAGGTCAGAGCAGCAGCTGCAACAGTGTGGCTTAGCCAATCTCGTCTGCAGAGCCGACTGTGGCAGGCCTGGTGGCTTCTGCCACAACCAGTCCTAGAGCCAAGCAATGGTTCAAAGTCTTCTCCTCCTCAAAATTTGCAAAGGCTCCCTTTAATTAAGTTGGGCTCCGGTGCCACTGAAAAAGGAGCTGACAATTTTTGCAGCTGAGAAGAGAGTTCTAGTTAAACATGACACATGAAAAGCATGCCTCCTGGATGGCGGGAGCCTTCTTCCCCCTTCAGTGCTCAAAGCACTCCCCTCCAGGCAGAAAGCTGGCCCTCACACAAAGAACTGCTGGTCAGCTTGTTAGGACCTCCCTCTTAATCACGAACAGATTCCAGAACCACAGACATTTCAAAAGCATCTTCTGCATGAGTGACAGAAAGCAAATGAACAAAGAAAAAAAGGAACTCAGAAGAAACAGAGACACTAGAAACAGCAGAAGGAAATTAAAACAGCATCAACAACAAATTGTGTCCTCAAGGAGATAAGATTTTTCATCCTTGAAATGAAAACAAATTTCTATTTTTGTTTAAAAAGATCTATTGAAGAAGTAAAAGAACTCTTGGACATTAAAAACATGAGAGTTTAACATTTTTTTTAAAGGGTAAGATTGCAAAATAAAGATGATAAAATACTCCAGACTGGTAAACAAAGAGACAGAGATAAAAAGTAGGATAGAAAAGAGGAGAAAATCTAGGAGGTCCAACATCCATCTAATAGGAGGTTCCAGAAAAAGAAAACACAGAATATGGAAGAAGTGAATCTACTCAAGAATTAACATGTTCTCAGTACAAAAGTCATGACAGGCATGAATTTTCAGATTTGAGGAATCAGTAAGTAGCCAGCACAGTGAATTCTAAAAAAGATAAAAGATCAAATAAAAACAAAAAAGAAGCACAGTTTGTGGATGTAGGTGATAAGTATGTGAGTTCATTGGGCAAATCTTAAAACTTTTCTGTAAGTGTGAACTTTCTCAAAACAAAGTTTAAAAGGTAATGAAAGAAATTCAATCTCTCTGCCATCATTAAAATATTAAATAATTTCAATGCAGCAATGTAAGTAAAATATTTTGGCACTGATACTAAGAAAAGATTATTAAAATGTTCTTATATTTTTTACAAGTTTTATTGGGATATAATTTATATACCACACAATCCACCCATTTAAAGAGTACAATGGTTTTGGGTATATTACATTAATTTTTAAAAACTGTGTTAAAAATATCTACAAAAAGAAATATGCCATTTTAACCATTTTAAATGGACAATTGAGTGGTATTAATGATGACACACATTCATGTTATCATGGGAAAAGCTCAGGACCGAACTCCGTCTCTCCTAGAAGGTATGAAATGTTCTCTCCGTTATTCTGGCTGCCTTATACTTCCTTGAAGCCTTTTTCACTCTGGGATTCCTAAGGTCCCCTATCAGCTCACCCATAACACTGATGGCCACCCATCACCACATATATGACAACAGCTGTTTGCCAGATGTAACCGTGCGGGATAGGAAATGTACACAAACACATGGAATACACATGGGATGGGAACTCAGGGAGAGTGAATGGGATTCCTGGAGTCCTAATGTAATCAGGATATTAAAACCAAAATGTCCACAACATGCTATAATTAGATTTCACAACTAAGAGGCACAATAGGAAAGACCACCTTCTCAATGTTGACCTTCGTGTCCATGACATCAAACTGTGACATTAACCTGTCTTAGGAAGGTGCCCGAATTTTAGTGTTTGTACCCTGTCATCTGATTATGTTTCTAGAAACCCTTTTGCATTTTCTCTCCCAGACTGCCTTCTTCATCCCCTCCTGCCTTTCAAGGAAACCAGAGTCAGTGAGTAGCCCTATACTCAAGGGCACTGTAGACCTCCCAGGATGTTTCACGGTCTAGCTGCCATCACCAAGCCCAACCCTCTCGCCTACTCCTCTCAGCACAATACTCACTAGTGCTCACTTGAAAAACACCATTTTAAATGGAAAGCAGACAAAAAAATCTTTTTAAAAAGTGTATATAAGCCGGGCTCGTGGCTCAGCCTGTAATCCCAGTACTTTGGGAGGCTGAGGTGAGTGGATTGCCTGAGCCCACGGG